CCTAAATGGAACCAACTTTTTTAAGGATTTTTGAAGATATTAGATTGGATTTTATAAACCTATTTTATACCTATACCATTGCTTTATTAACAATTGAATATAATACAAAACTGAGTAAGATGCACCTTTCAAACAATATCAAGAAATTTTAAGGATGTTATATAATATAGTAGTATTTTTTCTTCAAACACATATATTTCAATATTACAAGCTTCGATCCATGGATGAAAATTTGACTAAATATGTACGAGTACAAATATTGAGGTTTATTGTGTAATTTGAGGTTGGTTGGTATGATAAAGAAGATAACTCTAATGGCTCACTGTGCTCTTGTTTAACATCACATGCAAATATGGTAAATACTCTTTTATTTTTTTTTGTTTATTTTTTTTTTTCCATATAAACTACAATCAATATTTTAAAGAATTCTACTCTAGAACTTCAAAATTCATAGTAAATTTTAATTTTCATTATCAACTTAGTTTGACTTGATCATATGTCATTCAATTTATAACAAAGTTCATTTTTGATACACTTTTATCTTTAATATGAAGGTTAGGAGATGAATAAGCTACAAATTGTATTCTCAATATATTTCTATTATGAACTTCATATTATTATTGGTGTGTAAGTAAGTTTGTTTATTGTGGTATTGTATTATGTGTGTTCTTGCTTAAGAATACACCGAGCACCTAATTGTGGAAGATAAGTAGAAATACAAGAATAATTCTACCAAGTCTAATAGAATCTTAAATAATCTTAAGTAGACCTAAATAATCTTGATTAAACTTTGACTAATCCAAAATAAATTTACAAATTTTTTAAAAGAAAAAATTTTTTTTAAAAAAAAAATCTTCAAAAAATATAAAATAACTTTTAAAGAAATAAAAATAATTTATAAAAAATACTAAAAATAGAATTTATTAAAAAAATAATAAATAATCTTAAATTCTTTTATTAAAAATAGAAATATTAATATAATCCTAATTAAAATCCTAATTAAATCTTAATCAAATCTTATGTCAAACTCTAATACAATCTTAATGAAATCCTAAATCCTAAATAAATCCTAAATAAGTTCTAAACTAAATGCTAAGAAAACCCTAATATTAATCAAATCCTAAATCAAATCCTAAATCAAATATTAATCAAACCTTATATCTTAAACAAATTCTTAACAAACTCTATAGCAAATAGAATCTTAACAACTATTAATTAAATAGTCAATATCAACTCAAAATTTACAGACTTTTTAATGCCTTAGTTAGGAACAAGCAAAAAAAAGATAAAATCAATTGTACTTACTAATTGATAGAAATATAAGATAATCCATTTTGGTGTTAGGCAGCCTTCTACTCTAAACTGGATGCTAAACTTCTAGTGCCAATATTTCCTTCTTGAACTCTTCAATTGCTTTCAAATTTCACCTAAAATTTTAAAAATCGAGTCTAGTATCCATACAAAAAAAATTCATTTCAATCCAATTGATAAATTGCTAAAGATCTTAGAAATACTCACTAACCCTCAAATTCTAATTTCTAAGATGTCAACCTATAAAAACGTTCAGACACTTTGATTTAACCATTCAATTGACCTCAAAATTTTGTACACATATTTAAAACTAACACATCAATATATTGCCTAAAATTCACTTATACATACACTATAAAATTCAAAAAACCCTCAAACTTATTAACATATTTTTATTTCTCAAATTCTAATTCAACCAAGAATATTACTAATTTTAAAAATTCCTCAAAAATTCAATATTGATTCAAATAACATAAAAGAAATGATAAAATTTTCTTCTTAATTTTTCTCTCAAATTCTATTCTTTGATCTATCAAAAGAATCTTGAAGTCACTGTATAGATGTGGTTTTATGCCTTGGATTTGATTTTGATCGAAGTTAACAATTAGTCCATTTCGAGTATCAATTTTTGATAATTTGACATAAATTTTGCTTTAACCTGTTATTAATTCTTTCTTAAACATGTTTATGTCAATTTCTTACCTCATTTACTTTGATTTGGCTTATTTATGCCTCTACAAAGTAAATAGAGGTTCTTTCTATAAAAAAGCAACATTAAGACTAAATCTTTTACTACCTTTCTATCTTTTATCTTTATTTTTCTACTATATCGTTTTGCTAAGTTCTTCTATAATAATATCTATATTTTTATTTTTTACTATATAGTCATGTTACCATATAATAGCAAACTAGCTGTCTTTACTTGTAAAATCACCAAATATGGTTTTTAAGATTTTACTATTGTGTTTCATCACCTCATGGTGCTTTGGATTGTTTATTGTATTTTTGCAGCATTTCTCTATATCTTTCTACTACATAAAGAAATTACTTCTATATGATTTGGTTTACTTATTGCTTGAGCATGGCTACATGGTTGCATTGACTTAACTTTATGTAATGTAAAATGTTTGTTTTATATTTTTTTATATTTCTTAAGTTAAATAAAAGTAAAGTTTTTTTTTCTTAAAATTTAACTATTTTTATTATTATTAAAATTTAAACCTTTAAAATATATTTTTAAAAAATTAATTTCACTTATGGGTACAGATGTCTTTGATGAAATTTGCTAAAAAAATAGCAATTGCACAAGCTAAATCAAGTTAGATAGAAAATAAAAGAGTTATGGAATATTGAATAATTATAGTATTTTTATTACAAAAAAAGTGCAAACTTTGTTTAAGAGCAAATTGAAAGATCTAAGATGCAAAATATTCTTAATTAAATTTACTTCTTGTCTTATACTTTTTATTTTCTATCAATAAAGCAATGAAATTATACTATTAGTTGGCTGAATTATGTACCTATATTTAAATACTTTACTATGTATAAGTATATTGAATCCTTTGTATATTGTACAATTCAATCAATAATGATTATAATACAATTATCAAATTTCAACATGATATTAGAGAAGACTTAAATCTTCATTATTTCTTTCTTATTCTTTATTACTTTATATTATCTATCTTATTTAAAAATATATTTGTTCTAATTTATCAAATTTTTATTTTATTTTTTATGATAGAATCTTTTATATTAAAAAGAAACATTTTAAAGCACTCAAAATTATAGAATGTCACTATCTACACCATTTAGTTGTATGAGCTTAAGATTCTTCTTCAAACCAAGTGATTTTGGAATATTATCTATTCCTCCAATGCTTCAAATGGTGAGTCCTCTTCAATCACCTTTCACCACTCAAAGTAGACAAAAAAAGACATAATCACATAAGGCTCTATACCAAGCTCCACTCTTGTAGAATAACAACACTAGGTAATTATGATTATTATCTCAATGATAAAATATTCTATTCTCCATCATATTATGCATATATCAAATCCTAAAAAAATTTGAACTAAGTTGAAAGACTTATATCAATCCAATTCAATGAATTGCAGACTTTTTTTTAAATCTCAATCATACAACATTAGAATATTAAGCAAAGACAACATTGAATATCTCATGACTATGAACAACCTCACTAGATAACTTGCAAATATTGAAATCTTAATACGAGACAAAAAAATTGATTGATAAAATTTTAACAAGTTTACTATCAAGCTTGGACATCTTTTGTTAAATGATATCTAAAAAAGAACATATTCCAATCTTTAGTAAACTTGAGAATTTTATTTTAAAAGAAGTTGTTGTCAAAATTAAAAACCGTAAAAGAAATGAAGTTGAAGAAGTTCCATCAATCCAACACAATGCATTTTATACATCTAGGTCTAACATTTGCAATAATCAATATTATATAAAAAGATGCTCTAATTTACTATATGAATGCTCTTTTAATTTCAATAAAAAAAAATTAATAATTATAATTTATATTATAACATCTTTTACAATATGATAGAGGCTCACAAGGCAAATTTTAAAAAGGCACTTGCAATAAATATAGAAGCCTATTTTATTAGACAAATAACTACAAATTCAAGAAAATTTGCATCAAAGTTTGTAAGTTGGAAGTTGGAAATAGATCAAGCTCTTTTTAATGGCACACAAACCACTTTGCCAATGCTTCAAAGAAATTGTGCTTATTGAAGTATTTGAAGTATGTGCAGCAAAACCTTTACAAGAATTTCCTAACTCAATTTTAGACTCTAGTACAAGCACTCACGTAACAAGCAATCTAGACTTATTGATTATTGTTAAATCTACTCTTCTATCTATTGTGACTATTGTTGGTGGAAAAATTGTATCTATTATTATATACCTTGGAAATAATAAACATTTGAAGTAAATTCTTTATATACCCAAGCATGATTAAGAATTTATTAAGAATTTATTATTAGTTGGCAAACTAACAAATCTATGCTACTATGCAATCTTTGGTCCAAAAGTTTACTAGATATTTAGCACATCCTATTTATGTAAACTAATACTTATAAGTACAAAACAATCAAGAAACAAACTATATGCCTTAAGCACCATCAAACCAACAAAAAAACTCTTAAGACATTTCTATTAACTCCATCAACCACTCCAAATTGGAAATCACAAGACTAAAGTATAAAAGAATTGCTCATCTCAACTTTCAATCACTCTATAACTTATTACATAGAGAAATGGTCATTGGAATTCTTATATTATCTCTTGTGAAATTGTCTTGTAAAGCTTGTTTTCTTGAAAAACATCATTGCCATTCAATCTCTCAATCTCGTTTGACTCCCACACAGCAAGCAAGAAACGACAAAAATTTTACTTCTCGTCCTACACTTTTCAGCCTCTGTCGACAAAGCAACCAATAGCGTCATTACGTACCCATACTTCATACTACGTATAAGTATGCTGAATCCTTTGTGTACCGCACCTCTCGATCAATAAAGATTTTTCTCTTCGAACATGATGCAATCATCAGATTGCAACAGTTCCGTCGTTCTCAGATTGCAGGAGTTACATTAGGAGCAGCCAACTTTGTTAACTTCGCTTCTATGGCTCTGATGTTCTGGTATGGAGGCTTATTAACCATGAGAAGACTAGCTGCGTTTGCAGATTGTTTTCGGGTTTTCTTGGTCTTTGTCAACACAAGTCGTGGCATTGGCGAGGCAGGTGCTTTGACACCAGATTTTGCGGAGGCATCTATTGCGATAGACTCCGTCTTTCAGATTCTAGATCGGAAAACCAAAATCGATACCGATGATAAGGTAGCAGAGGTGGTAACACTGTGAAAGGTGATATTGAGCTGAGAGATATTCACTTTGCATATCTAACTCGACCAAACGTGATGCTTTTCAAAGGTTTTTGTTTCCAAATCCATGCTGGCCAAAGAGTGGCTGTGGTAGGTCAAAGTGGGAGCGGAAAATCAACCATTGTGGGACTGATAGAGCGCTTTTATGACCCATCGAAGGGCACTGTTTACATCGATGGAAAAGACTTGAAAAAAGTAAATTTGCAATCCATTAGAAGTCATATAAGCTTGGTCAATCAGGAGCCAACCCTGTTCGCAATGTCAATCCGAGATAATATTGTGTATGTTAAGGATGGAGTAACAGACGCTGAGATTATAGAAGCTGCAATGACTGCAAACGCCCACAAGTTCAACTTGAAATCTTAGACTACAACTATCTCAATCGTACACTTCCATTTCTACACGATGGGCAATCGGGTGATGAATCATGACAGTTTTGTCTGTAGCTTAGTTTGCAGAACGTCTCCAACAAACTTGATACTGCTTTAGTAGGATATACGACAATTATCTCAAAAACCTGGCAGAGAGGTCTTCAGTTTCTTGGTCGATAGAGTTTGATTCTCTTAGCAATGAAATCCTGAAAGGAAATAACACTTACCTTTATAAGTTCCTTTGACATCTTCAGTTCACTTCCAGATGGTTATTCGACCTTTCCTGGCGAGAGTGTCCTCCAGCTATCAGGTGGACAAAAGCAACGAATTGCAATTGCACGAGCTATAATAAAAAAAAATCCATAAAATACTATTGTTGGATGAAGCAACCAGTGCTCTTGATGCAGAGTCGGAGCGAATTGTGCAAGCTGTACTGGATTCGGTGACATTGGGTCGAAGTACCATTGCTGTTGCCCATCGGTAAGCACAGCGCCAGAAAATGTTAGTTTGTGTTTACTGACTATAGCATAATAATACTTACGGTAACAAACAATAACAGGTCTGCTTTCAAATGCGTTTTGTTGCTTGCGATGAAAGATAGAAGTCTTGAGTAGTATCAGTTCAAGAGCTAATTTGCTAAAACATTTAGTGCTCACCCTCCTAATGGTCTATTTTAATGTAGTGAAATCAACAGGTACAGCTTTGTTTGCGAAATCGTCACTTTTCTTTCTGTCCAACTCGGAACTTCTTTGCAGAGTTGTCAGTTTTTCTGACTTCAATAGTCACCATTTTCCATACCATGCGTGCAGACTAACTATCCGTCAAGCACACTTATTTGCAGTTTTACTAGACGGTGTCATCCTTGAGCAGGGTAATCACAACGACTTGATTGCAAGAGATCCGGCTGGAGCCTATTACGTCCTTGTTTACTCTCAAGCTGGGCCACATTAGCGGCCTAGAATCATTATACAACTCTTCGGACGAGGGAGTCGAGAGTAATGTATTTATAGACTCGTCGAGAGAAAGCACTTATCTCGAATGATTTTGATAGATAAGCGTGTCGGTATTATGAGAAGTGAGTCGGTAGTTTTATTTTATAACCCTACAGAATGAACTTCAGTCAATCTAAATGGAGTAGTACTGATCTGAACCAGTTAAGGGAGTATTACAGGCTGAAAATTCTCTGCTCCTGTAATCGGAGTTTCTGGATGCAAAGTTGCTTGATTGAGAAACTGCGTTTGTCATGGTTGTCTCTACAAGTTGAGCTCTACTTTCTAGCATGCTGCCGCAAAACCATGGCAGCACAGCTTGCTTTTTCAGACTCTACGACTCAGGAAAACGAACATGCCAGTTCTGGAATAACTTGCAATGCTTCATGAGCGTAGAAAATGCTTACTCCTTAGCCTTCTACAGGTCTCAGCAACCAGATTCTGGTTGCAGCTTGTTTTGCAGAGTTTGTTGTTGTTGTTGTTGTTGTTTTTTTGTTTTGTTTTTTTGTTTTTGTTTTTGTTTTTTTTTTTTTTTTTTTTGCTTTGTTTTTTCATTTATTTTCTTAATTTTGAATTGATCAATTTTATTAAAAAAATTATATTCGCATGTGTATATGGAATCTGAGTCATTTCCCATGTGGTTTTCAAGTAAGAAAACATTTGAAATGGAGAGGTTTGGAACAAGATTCACAAGGCCAGTCTTCCATCACATTGAGAATAATGAAAGTAAATTCAGAGTCTTTTATTATCAAACGTTTCACCATTTTGATAGGGTTATGTATGTTTTAGTGATCAAATTTCAATGTCGTTTTAAGTATTTTTATTAGTAACTATGCAACTCATGAATTAGATTAGTCGCACCAAAATGCTTGCTGATAAGTTAATTTCCATAACTCAATGGTTCCAATGGAAGTGGCAGATATTAAACTCATTTACTTCTAGTTGCTATTTTCAATCACAAGGTACACTCGAAGTATCCAGCCATCACAAACTCTCACGAGAGCTTACAAATTTTCATTCAAAATGTTCCCCAGGATTCTTATTCTTTCACAGATTAAAATATTTGCAAGTAGGAAGGCTTCAAAACTTCATGAGAACTGGAAAGGGTGACTCAGGTCTCACATGATGAATGAGGTCATCCTTCCCTTTTCTCAACATAGATTTTCAAATCATCCTTTTCCTCTCTGTACTTGATTCCTGGATTTTTTATTTCTTTTTAATTCTTTTTATTTCTTTTTTTTCTTTTTAGGTGTTGGTGATTCAAGTTGGCACCACCCACCCAATAATCAGATTTTCTTTTTTTCTTTTTTTCTTTTTCTTTTCCTGAATTTTAATACAGTTAGAAGCTTTCAGTTTTTAGTATTCTATAATTTCTTGAACTGTTGGTTTTGAAATTTTAGCATGAAAATTTATTTTTATTTTTACTTTTCTCATACATACTATCTATATAGTACAGAGATATAGATTTTTTCTTATGCAAATATTTTTTGCACTAATTTAGTGATTTCTTTCAATGGATAAGAAATCATACAAGATTCATCCAGTTATTTATACAAACCGCATTACACATCACTGATTTATGTTTCTAAAATCAACTAAAAAAGAATAATATATTCTATCATAATCAAATTAATGAATTTCAATTTTACATGATTGTTTTTTTGTAGTTTTAAAGTGTAAATAAAATGTTAGATTTTATGGCTCATCCACAATTTATTGTTTGTACAAATGGTTCATGTTTTCTATTTTTAAATTTCCATTATTTTTAAAGGATTTCTATATATATATATATATATATATATATATACATATACATATAAAATACACTAAATTCTACTAATTCTATGTTACTAGATTATTTTATTGAGTGGTTTATTGTAACTTGAATGTTTTAGTAAGAATTGAAATTTTTTTCCTCCAATTATATTTCTAAATTTCCTATGTAGTATATTAGCAAATTCTTTGTATAAAATTATACATACTATTATTTGCATAAACTATGAACCTTTAAAAAAAATTGGATATTTTTCAAACATTTAAGTAAAATTATCTTAAATAATGATCTCAAAAATTTCTTGGTTATTAATTTAATCAAAGATAAACATAAATTTAAATGACTTTTAAAAATAATTGCAAATTTTTAAAGACTTCTAGTATCAATAAAATATTTCATAGTCTATTACTGTCATTTAAAAACTTTTATGATCTTACAACAGTTTTACAGTCTTAAAAAACTTCTATGAAAAAATTCAGTACATTTTAAAATTCTCTGTACTTTAGAAACACATTATACATTTTTAAAATGTTTTTAGAAATAGTTTTATAAGATTTTGGTCCTACACTAAAAATTTGCAATAATTCAATTTACATCTTTCTTTTACAAATACCAGTATATCTTATTTTGACATTGTTTTAATTGTTAATAATAATGATTTAGTTTCTTAATCATTAAGTATGAATATTAAATTGATTTGCCTAATCTTAAATTGATCCACAAACAATAATTGACAAATTGTTGTTAATTATTTTCATCATTTGGTATTTTTAGAAAATTCTTGCCATACCTCTCTTGACAATTCTTCATCACAATATACCTCCAATGCTTCCGTGACTTCTTGCTAATGTAAAACATTCTTCTTATTGGATGTTTCTACTTTCACAATTGACCTTTCACATTCAATTTTCTTGCTCTTCTTTTGAGCTGCTCTATTATAGTCCTTTCCTCAAATTTCATTCTCTATCCCTCTTGCTCCCTTACAAATTCAATACATCACATGTACAAAATCAAAGAATTGATGGTAAAGAAGTGCAATGTACTATATCACAAAGCATAGTAAAGATATGTAAGTCAATTTAAGTTTTAAGTGGATTAGTTTAATTTTCTCTCTCTCTCTCTCTCTCTATATATATATATATGTATATATACATATTCCAAAATGTTAATACCTAAGTAATGTATAAATTAAGAGAATGTTAGCGCAAATATTGTCAAATATATATGATTAGATAGATGGATAATAACCTAGATACTACATATATTTTGCTACCAAAGAGTAGATCTATTACTTTATTTTACTTCAAAAGTCAAATTAGTTACATATAACAAAAAACATCTACATGACTTAATTCTTTTTTATTTTTGAAAAAAATTCAAATATAATTAATTAATTGATTAATAAAACATTAAAATTAAAAACCACATATTAACTCTAAATTATAATTGATAACTCTACAAATGAGGTAATTAGTTTCATAAGAGTCATATTTATTTGAAGTATGGTTTGAACTAACTTTAAACTACCTAACAACAATAGCATGTTGGTACCAAGAAGTTAGTGGCTAAAATCCTAGTTGCAAAACTTCCAACTTTGCCAGGGGAGATTCCAAACAAAAATAACATGTTTCAAAATATATATATATATATATATATATACACACACATACACCGCCAATGTAAGGCATGGGTGGGGGTTCTCCGAAGCGGTGTAGCTGGGCTACTTTGGGAGTGCCGTGGTCTACCACGGCTTTGGTGGCCCGAGGGATTTGTGGGCCGAGCATCGCTCACGCATGCGAGCCATCACAAATCCCATGCGCCTCGTTGAAAAGCAGCAAACCACGTAGAACAGCAGCAGCAACACACAAATGAATAAACAAACATGCAGATGCTGATGATGAAGAAGAAGAAGAAGGAGCAGAACAACAGGATGAACAATCAGAAAACGGAAGTGGGGGAGGTCCGTGAATCCTCGGCAGATGCCAACAACGAGACCCATGAAAAGCAGGTGAATCGGGATATGGGAGTTCAATAAAACCGTCGCGCCAGGCCTTGCCTTGGTCAAGTTTTCGTGAAGTTGCGACTTGAGTGAGAGTGGGTCACAATGTCGATGGAACCAGTGCGGGATGTGGACCTGGGATACCAATACATGGGCATGTCGGTGTGCACGGTGGTGGCTCCGGAGAGGGGAAGGGAGGCGAGGAACAATTCTGTGCAGTCCCGGCGGAGGCGTAGAACCGTGGCGAGGAGAATCGCGTTGGGAGTGTTCCGATTGCCGTCTTGTTGCACTGCGCCCTCCACTCTTGAAGATCCAGATCCGTTGTCGGACAACATCGGAAGGAATCCGAGATATGCCCCCACTGGGGAGATTAGCCCTCACATTCCCTACGTGCCCAAATACATCCACTCGAGAGAGATTTCTCGCCTCCCTGTGAAAAGCAAGCTGCAGCGCAAGGTGAGGTGCTGCATTGTGAAGTTTTCGGCGGCTCGAATTGATGTGAAGGATTCGGTGCAATATGGACTTCTTTTGGGGTCATCCGGTTGTGTGTTTTGGTTGGCAGGTGATTATTTATTCGCCGAGCTCTGGGACGTCTATGCAGCAGCTGCAGTCGACATCCAAGGCAGCCCAATGGAGGATTGACTACGAAACTGAAACCAAGTTCGTGTTTAGAATCGCCCATCCCTGCTGTGACTCTTTACGTTGCGTGAATTTGAGGGCTTCTCCATCTGAAGGAACCAGTGCATGTGAAAATTGAGCTGTTGAGGGGTCTGAGGTCTTCATTCTTATGGTTGTTTTGGCGCTTTCCTGGCAGTGCAGGTGGGAAAGCTCCTTGAAAGGATGGACATCGACAGGGGATTCTTACTTGGATGTCGACGAATCGGGTTTGCAATTTGACAGCAAAGAGGCGGCCATTACTTTTGCTGAACAATATGGCTGGTCCTATAAGGTAGTGCAAATCAATTCGTTTTGTTGTCAAAAGGGCCATGAGTCAATTTGTACTTGTTTGATTTGACTTGATTGTTGTGTGATTCGTACTCTGAAAACTTGTGCATGCGAACATCTTTATTAAGATATACGAGTTTCAGGTCAAGGAAGCGAAGCACAAGAGAAACTCATCCTTGGGTAATTTCGACTGGGTGGAACCGTGATTGCTGGAAGTGCTTGAAAACTTGAATCACTTACGCAGAAGTTCGAACATCTACATAAGTGTAATTTAGTTTGTGCGTCTGGAGAGCCAATTCTTAAATTTCCTGGGGAACGTTGAGTGCTGTTTCTCACCAATTGGAGTCATAAATCTAGAGGATCTCAAAACAAAAACAAAAAAAAACAAAAAACAAAAAAGCCGCACACGTAGGGTGCTCATTGTCATTGACCTTACCAGACTGACTAGAGCCCCCACTGAAGGGCAAACCCAGTCAGATGTATTAAATGAGTATTCAGCGTGTTCCACATCATTGTACTAAAGGATAGCTGTTGGATGACGATAATGGAAAGTCATTCCTTGTGAAATCCTTCAATCTAAACATATTGGTTGTTCAACCCCTAATTTGTGATTCACGAACATGTTCGTACAAGCGCTCTATTAAACTGTGCAGGAGATTTGAATCTGCCCCATTCAGGTATGTCTGTTGTCGGATAAATGGAAATCATTTATGTTCGATACTGAAACTTCGGAGAATTTTACTTATTGTAAGTGAAGCTAGAAGCAATCGATAAGCTGAACGTGTAGTTTCGCGAAGTAATGAAGCGGCTGGCATGCCATTAAACCAAATATAGGTGTAGCATCCCCAATCTGAACATAAACAACGCCATGAACGGGGCATCCCACATGATTGGCCCTCGCACTCCTTGTGGGATGTAGAGAAAATAACATCAAGTAACCCACACCAAAAGCCCTGGATTACAGAAACAACGTGCAGATTTTTTCGTACCATTTCCAGTTTTATAGAAAAATATGTAGACAAGGACAAAGCTGAATAGATTGTCTTCAATTGACGTGTACAATGGCCTCACTAGTGGTGGAACAACTATACGCCTCTGAAAGACAATGCAATTGGATATACTACTGACGTCATTGTAATGGAATCTGATATCCTGGATTGCCTTAAAATGGAAATCAAATTCAACAGGTTTTATTATAATATATCAGCAGTGATCAATTCTTGCGACTAATTGCCAATATCACTTCTCACTCACCATGTCTTCAACATCGAGTTCAACCGCCAATACTGGGGAATCAACATGCATAGCATCATCACTGCAATAACACAACAAAAGTATCTGTCAGCCAACTAATACCAATTGAAGATTTATCTTAAACAACAATATTCAAGTTGGTCTGAGCATTCAAATGACCTTAATATCCTTGAACAAAAACCTCAGATGAACGTAAGAACAGCCGCAAAGCAAAGAAACAAATGCTTTTGCCAATATACAACATCTACACCTTGCCTTAGTTAACAAATCTGTGAGAAACAAAGTTTAGCGCTGCCATACCTGTTCACCACAAAACCATGATCAACTGCAGAGCGAATACCATAAATGGCCCTCCCGATTATGTTACTTAAAGGTAAAGGACCAAAGCTCCGACTGTCCCTGCTTTCCTATAAGCAAAAAAATGCAATCAAAATATTTCCTCTGCACTGCTTTGCAGAATAAACACGTACTCAGTATTTTTAGTTGAACCCTTACCACAATTGTGGAGACATGCACCTGGGATAATAATGAACATGAATTTCAATGCATGATGCTCCTCAAGTTAGCATTCAACCATTATCTATATTTTGTCTCAAGACAAAACTACAAACGCTTATTTGTTGATTTATACTACACTGCATGCCCCCAAAATAATCATGATTCTTAAGAACATTACGTTTAATATAAGACGTAATCTACCGACGAAAGGGCAGCTGTAGTATGTCTATGAAGCTCTTACCTCCTCAGTGCAGAAGATGAGGAGAGAAATAAAGCTCATGAAAATCCATGATGATTTTGGTAAAGGGCAAATATATCCATACCGGTACCTTGGGACTCAAGCTCTCGTTGTCACAAAGCACCCAACATGTCCCAGGAGCAAGCTTGAAAGATTCATCTTCAGCATGCGTCGAAAGCATCTCTTCTCCTTCTAGTGCTGCAACTCTTCTAACTAAGTTCGTGTCGGGATTTCGCGGATCTTTTAGCATCACCACATCACCCACAAAAACTGATCTGTAGAGAGTTACATAATGAAGTCCTGAATTGTCAAGATTTTTGAGAGGAATAAACTTTTTTGAATATATATATATATTGAAAAACCCTACAAAACGATCCCGGTCTCTAAACCTGTTCAATTGAATTTTACAAACATATGTGATACCGAGCGGATTTAACTAAGATAAAAGACGAAACAAGGTAATAGAATGACAAGAGATTATGAGCACGTCTAAAAACTACCTTGGACTCGGCCGTGGAAGAGAGCGAATAAGCAAAGTCTCTCCCTGACTCGCAAATGTAGGAGCCATTTCCGTGCCTTTTACAAGATGCTTGAAAGTCAGACGCCCATTAAGCAGGTTCTTAAAGACATGGTCATAAATCTCTCTCTCCTTAATGTCTCCCACCTCATAGCTCTACAATCATCAAAGAATAAGAACATCAGCACAGTTGCTTCGCAGCTTTATTTCACATCAACACGAGCAAAGTACAACTTAAAGTCACAATCGTAAAAACTAATGGAAGAATAATTTCAGAAAACCTATGCTAGAATAGAGGAATGAGTTTTTCCCACCTGTGTAATACAAATATAATAGCACAAGCAAGCGTGCAGGGTTCGATCACACAAGCAGCTAGTTTTCAATATATGAATGAACAAGGACCCAAGTGCGCAAGCTTACCCTCAGACTTTGTGCAAACGAAGCCCTAATTCTGGTCACGAAGTAGCGCGCCCATGTCACGGGAGAGGCCATGGTTTCCTTCAGTGGTTCTTCCGGAAACCAGCCAACCGCATTTCAAAAGAATCCGACAACCACCCACGCTCCTTAATTGCAGAATCAGTTCATTCCCATCGCTGAAACCAGGAATTTAAAATTACGCTAGAAACGGAAGTGTGAATGCCAATCACACTGCTCCAATCTTCTCTTTCTGCAAAGAGGTTTTAGGACTTAGAACCAAAACAATTATGTAAAACCTACAATATAGTCAAATTATGTTAAAAAAGAACTTCTTCAACTCACCGCCTTACCTTATTCTTCTAGTACCACGGCGGGCATTGCAGAACAAAGAAAAACAAAGAAAAAACTCACGAAAGATAATAACCACATTCCACTCGTCTAAAACCCGGAGATTCTCACTACCCACCCTCCCAATATCCCTCAAAATTGATCACAGTCAGATCGAAGCCATAATATTCTGAAAAGACAATCCAATCGTCCATGAGGCTGAATACTACCAAAAGCACGTAACAATAAAGCAACCTCCCCAGAAACACACCTAAACACGAGAAAACTTGAAGCAGAAAAGAAGACAGACCAATCTCCTCCACCAAAATGTGTGAAAATTAAGAGGAACGAGAAAATTGACGAAGGAAGAGATTGCAATCTGCAGAGAGCTTCCAAATTCAGCTAATGGAAGCAACCGCGACAGACAGAAACGGAGCCCCTTCGTGACAAGTGGTATCGCGGACACCACACCAGTAAGGTGAAGGGTACTACCGGCGTAGCTGGTTCCCTAGGTTGGATCCCTGTGCTCCAGAATCGTAGGCGATTTGCATCCTGACCGTACAATCTTCGATTGACCCGAAGAAAACTAACACCAGAGTACCCTTACATTTGCAATAATGAAAGTAATAAGAATAAGAATAGCAACAATTGAACTCGCTAAACCGTGAGGTTACTTTTATACGGTACATTCAAAATCCAAGCGTCATGCATTCAGAAGATTCTCTGATAGTGCAGGCACTTTTTCTGCAGAAATGGAGGTTTCAAGTTGAGCCACTACCAGCAGGGTTTGTTGTTCATATGAGGCAAAAATGCCAGCTTAGTCAATCGATTGATCTCACATTCTTACAACATCAACTCTTGAGTTGCCCACGACTAAACAGAAGCGTTCATCACAGAACCACGTTTCAATGGCTTGGGCGGATATCACATAACATTCCCATATATCAATTTACAGACAAAAAGCGTGGTGACTGGGAGAGTTCTGCTTCATTACATCTCGCCAATGACTTAATACAGCTTCCAGCTTTCATGCTTGCAAGCAACAACTCAAATTTTACTTCATGGAGCCTCACTGAGCCATGAATTAGTTACAGAGGTTATCAGTTTCCAGAAAAAACGATGCATAGCACGATGGCCATGGCTTAAATGTGTCCGACTGTGGGAAAAACGCTGAGCTAGACATGTATTTATCAGCGGAAACTAGTTCCTTTTGAATTGGCCACCTATGAACACAATCAACGTCGTCATAAGTGCTGAGTAGATGGGCGCCGGGGCTTGCTTCACAACGGGACCCACAATTGGAAGTTGCTCCGCTCTGGGCCTGCTCAACGTAACTATGGTGGGGATAACGAAGGAAAACAGAAGAATGTTGGTGCTGACTCGACCAGACACAGTCTTTGTGAAGGTTTCCAAGAAGGTATTGAACTCGTTGCGGTCCAGCGTCCCATCCTCGTTCTTGTCGCTAAGCTGTTGCATACAAGCCATGAAAATGAGAAACTACAAAATCCAGCAACGCTCACATGTTTCATACATGGAAACTGAAATAACCTAACCTTTTAAGTGACAAGCTCGGATTTGTATTGCTTAGTACATTGAAGCCAAAGCATAAGGTGATAGGAAAGGTACTGACCTTCAATAGCTCATTTACTTCTTCCTTGGTAGGTGGGTCATGATAAGGTCCTGGCAGAGTCTTGTTGATATCGCTGTTGCAAAACCAAACAAGTCAGCAACAGCATAGGAGAACTGATTACAAGGATAAATTCCTGCATATGAGACAATTTTATTGTAATGGAGAAATTGTAAAGACGGTTTAGTTCTTACTTGTAGACGAGAAGGACGGCACAGTACAAGTCTTGAACTCCAAGCATTTGCTGCTCACTAGTGCTTGCAAATCGATCCCAAACTTTATCTACGATCTTCTTCACTTGAGGGTTAGCTTTAGCCTTAGCTGCGCGTTCATTCATCAAACGTATCAGTGGGATGCTCTTCTCCGAGAACAACGTTTTTACACTACTGAACGAAGACTCTCACACAATTAACTATCAAATGCACAACCCAGAGATTGTCTTCGATACAGAATCTGCCCCCCTTTCCTTGTTTATTTCCATCCTCTCAGTGGTGGGTTAGATTGAAAAATCCTCACAATCGTTGATTTTGTATTAGATGTTCACAAAAGTAAAGTCTTATGGCGTTGGAATCGTCGAGTGACCCCATACTCACTATACCCTTTTCGTCACGATCACCATCCCCACCCCCCGAAAATATAGAGCAACAGTCTGTGTTCCTCTTCTTCGGAATTTCTGTTTCACTGTGTTTCGAAATCGATCAAACACTTTCGATTCCTCTGAGTTTGTCAGAAAGTCAGAAAACATCTATAATCTCGGAAAACCACCCTCGACAAACACGTGCACGCGCGCTGAGGGCCGAACTGCAGCTAAGTTGATTCGTGAAAACCAAACGAAGCGCAAGCCACCAGTATCCCCAGGGCAATTCCTGAGAGATGACCCCTGCACTACACATTCACCAGAATCCCAACCCCCTATCCAACGCACATCACAGTCAGTGCCGAGACCACAAATCCAGAAGCCTCTTGACTAGAGAATTCCCACAAGAACGTTCCACTCGAAAGGGGCTTCCCCTGTATCGGCCACGCCATACATCACGCGCACTTCGAGCATGGCCACAATTTTAAAGGGGCGGATCAACCGAGGAAATCACGGCGAAGAGAGGAAAGAACTCGAGAGCACTCACACTTGAAGTTGCCCATTGTGCAGCAGCTAATGCCTCCGACTACAAAACACGTTCTCCTCTAGCCGCGATCAATCTTCCTGTTTCATGCGAAGCCGCAAATGAATCAGATGAGCAGAGACCCCATTCAGAGCGCCCCAGTTGCTACTAGCCTCGATAGAGCTCCCTGATCCACAACCTATTAACTGTGGATGACGAAAATATCTAAAGCTGGGTGCCCGGGCCCCGGTGATTTGCTGGTAGCCCACAGAAAATCCACTTGGAACCCCAACGTAGTCATCTCAGATAGACGATCCGAGCTAGCTTCCGGTGTTGTGAGCTTATAAATCCATGAGATTCATCTCATTGGCATTCCCGTTTTTATGTCCCTTCAACTGCCGAAGTCACTGCCATAGTTTTCACGAGGAAACGTTAGTTTAGTAGTGTGAAACAGGAGTCAGAATGTGTGAAGCGTCGACCTTCCAGACGAAGATAGTCACAAATGCACAAATTATCATGCGCGACGGTGATTTCGTATTATGTTTCATGGTGTATGAACCTGGATGAAAGCCGAAGTGATTTTATATCTAATCGACATCTACTAAATATACCAAAAGTGTAAACAAATAGTGTATATTTCTATTGTGGGGAGTATTTTCCTTCAAACTTCAAGTTGCCACTATTCAACCACTTCAATAATTGTGTCGTACAAATAACGCATGTCATCCGTTGAGGTCAGAGCGATGAAGGTGGATGGAAAAAATATGCCTCATATTGCATAGGCGCATTGAGCGACACTTATAGATAAGCTAAAGATATTGGGTATCAAATTTGGAACCATACACTCGCAGTTTCACAAAAGAACACGACAAGGGCAGGCAAGGCTGCTGTAACAGTAATCATATATATCATACAATCATGTGTTTCAGCACATTACATTTACAATATCGAAGTGTAATAATTTTTTATACAATTCCTTGAAAGAAACAATCCAATCCTGAACCATCATGAACATGCTCACTTCAATGGTCGAAGATTGAAATGAATAAATACACAATGATCCGCATCTACTTGAACACAAGGATGGTAATGTTCTCGATCCACATCAGCTTAAGCGTGGAATAGTAACCGTAGCATTACCACAACAGGTAATCGATGATTCACCTTGACTAATCCAAACACCCTACCTTTACAAAACCAAATAAATTCCACAGCCAGAATCCATCCGTAAATCTTGAAGTGATTTTGAAGTACTCTGTACAAGGCCAATCAACCTTTGCTCCTCTTCCCCAAGGTGCGTAAAGCACGACCTATTAAAGATTCGCATCAACATTAATGTACAAGAAGCAACACAAGAGCAACTGAAGGGATTCATTACAGAAACAGCGTTCACTGCCCCTCCAACTTGTGCAGAAATCGAACAGAGGACAACTCAAGGATCGGAAAGGCTTTGCCGCTTCAGGAGGGATCAGTCGTCAGGAATGATCGGATACGCTGCAACAATTCCGCCTTCACGTTATCGGGCACCATGGCTGCAACAGTCCGCCCCACATAAGCCAACGACTCCTCTGTTATAGTATCTATCTTACAAAAATACTATCCCCTCTACTATGTTCACTTACAACACCAGGCTTGGTAAGTTCTGAAGACATGCCCAACTTCTGAGACATCGACTGACCTCAACTAAAATACCAGAGATCGTGCAATACTGTGAGATGAACGCACCTCGGCCTTTCGGAGTAATGGAGCGGACAAGCTCGTCCAAGGTGATATTAGCACGACCTTTCTTCCTGGTAAAAGCCCTGCCAGCCATTCCATCCAAACGCACACAACGCTTAAAATAAAAATAAAAATAAAAAAACTCCTGAAATCCATGTCCAGCACGGAGTGACACAATACACAACAACCTGATCAGATACCATTCAAAATAAGCAACAACTTTCACCGCATGCAACTGCTTTTACAATTCAGGAACTCCCACGATGCAAATTATGCGGTGCATAATGTAATTGCTTTCATTCAAAAACATGAGAGTTCTACAAGATACATTGTGTGCAGCAGGTCACGTCACGTTAACCAGACCTGCATTGAGCCTTTAGATCATCTCTCCAACCACATTCGATGAGTCGTTCCCGTAACAACTCCTTCAATCTCTCTTTCTCACCGCTTTCTATCAACTGCATTCGCTAAACCAAACATATATAAGAGGACTACCACGCAACCTGTTACTTGAGTACTCCGCACTGACAAACGACTACAACAAGGACCGACTTAAAATAAATAAACAAAAATTAATAATTATAATTTGAATAAACATCAGACGAGCTCCCAAAGCGTCAGTAGCAAACTGCACTTGCACAATCTCCCGCAATCCCAAAACGATGGACACAATTCTGAACGCAAAAGCCGGGGGAAGTCAACCTTGATGTTTATAATTTCCTGAAGAGTAGGCTCTGGTTCCCTGTCTTCGTCTGCATCGGGCGTAGGCGGTCTATGAACGGACGCCCTCCTGAACCACAACAAAAAATCAACATCGCCAGAATCAAAACCATTCCCAGTCAGTCCCACATATCCACCCCCCGACCTCTCTCACATTGCTTCTCAAATCTTCATCCTCAACATGCTCCACCACCTTTTCACCACAACGCTCCATCCAACACACGAAACAAATGCCGCCCCGCGTAAAACCCGACAGAAGCATTTCCACAGGCAAGAAATCCCTCACCGCCGTGAAAAAGCACAAAATCGACCACAAACCCTAGGGCTACACCACTAAGGGTCACTCACATGGCTGGAGGGGATGTACACACACAACCAACGGCCCAAGCGACGCAGCCACTAGGACAATAAATGCCGAAACACCAGCAATACGGTGTGTGTGTGAGTGCCGCCGCAGTGATGCAGCTGGCGCCACTACCACATCATCCAACACACTCGATCACAGGCTCTCAGCAACAATTAACCACGATAACGACGGCAGCAACAACATCAACAATCAACACTCTTGGCGAGGAGGAGGATATGCACAAGCCAGCACTTGCACGCCGATCGAAGTGGCGCATGATGTGGAGGGAAGCGTTGTTATTGTAGACACGACGAGGGTGGTGGAGGTGGAGTTCACGACATCGCGATCATCGTCATCGGCTTGGATGCAGGTGCAGTGCCATTGCGGGGTTGGCGATGGTGGTTTTAGTTTTAGTACTGTTATTATTAGTAGTAGAAGCAGGAGTAGTAGTAGTATTACAGTAATTGTTATTATTCCCACACATCGAAGCAGTGATTTATTTATCCCTTGGCGATGCCGATGGCCGAGCTTCAAACCCTAATTTTCTCGGCATCGTCATCCCCGTCGTTGCTGCTTCGCTCGTCGTCTCTTGCAATGGCATCTCCCTTTCACCTCTCTTTGTTCCCCTGTTTCTTCGATTCCGTTTTATTTTTTAATATTATTATTATTATTATTATTTATTATTACTATTCTGTATGTGTTTTTCTTTGTGAAATGGGTATTTAATACAGTTTTGTAAATGTGGGAGTAGTATTTGGGGACGTGTTTTTAAGGTGTAGCAACATGTAACTTGTTTGGATTAAATCTAAGTGATTTTTTTTCTTAATGTGTGGGATTTTTTTCTTTTTCTTCTCATTTGGAATCAATTTTTAATGATGTAGATGTTTTTAGAGATTGTAAAAAAGAATGAAAATCCATGAATAGTTTTATACTTGTGAATTATTTATTTGAACTATATGGACTCTAAAGTTGTACACCCCCATTTCTCTAAATTGTAATACTTTGTAATGATTTTCACATGTATTGAAATTCAAAAATTGATTATAAAAATCTTGTTTAATACATTTAATTCAATTCTAAGCAAGTTAACATCTTATAATATTAAAAAAAACAAAAAATATATATATGGTTCAATATTTGTAGTCTTATTTTATTTTGTATGTATATGTTCAATATGTTTGTAATATCATATCTTTTAAAAAAAATAAGCTCATAAAATAACAATATTGAGTTAACTTAAGAATTGAAGTATCTATTATAAAAATAAAATAAATCTTTTAACTATTAGTATATTGATTTTTTAAAACTTTTATTATTCTCATATATATATATATATATATATATATATATATATAGTCATAATTTATCAAAATATTTATAAATTAATATGTTTAAACATCAATTTTTTAAAAATATTGGCTAATTTATTTCAAAATCATTTTATTATTACTCACTATTAGTATAGAATCACTTATATTTTATTGATATTATTCTTTTAAGGTTCAAAAAGACATTAGTCTAATATTAAAAAATATATTAGTTATTATGCTATTTTATATTATAATTTTTTAAAATTATTATTTAATAAGTCATTACATATAAAAATAATCTAATATAAGAAAGCATCATCACTATAGAAGAAATACAAAGAAGACACAAGTAAGTAAGAATCAAAATTGTTGTTTATAAGACAAGTGTGGAATGAGATGCATCTTTCTTCCAATACACTTTACTTATAAGATGAATTTATATCAATTGTACTTGAACTTCATCTACAATTATCTTCATCCATCCAACTTAATCTTAGATTCCTTTTAACCTAACTTCCACATCAAATCCTAGCTGCTACATTAGTAAGTTACCTTCATTCTTTTATTATCCTTTGACCATTAGCAACTTATTTAAGATAATTGTATCTTATTCTTATTTTAACACATCCACTATGCTATTGGTCAAAGGCTTTTAAACCTAGTGCCTTGGTCAACTTCTGATGCCTATCTTTTATTAGTGTTTTTATTAACAAATCAGTAAGTATGTTGCATAATACCTCATATCAATCACTTCCATTTCAATCTTCTCTCTTATGAAATAATGTTGAATGTCAACAAGTTTGATTCTCGAATGATGCTTTGGATTCTTTGAAAAATAAGACATCATTGGTTATCACACTTTATTAGAATTACTTCCAATTGCACAAATCCAATGTCTTCTAAAATTTATCTTAGCCACATTGCCTCTATTGCATCATGACTTACTACCATGTATTCTGCCTCCATTGTGGACTTTGTAATTGTTAGTTGTCTCTTGCAATTCTATGAGATTGTTCCTACTCCAACAAAAAATATATATCTTCTTATTGTCCTTGTATTATTTATATCTCTAACCAAATCTGCATCACAATAATCATGCAATGTAATATTATCTCTTTTAAGACACAATTTGAAATTCAAATTGCCTTTTCAGTACCTCATAATTCTCTTAATAGTTGCTCAATAGATTGGTCCAACCTTTGATATGTGTTGATTCATAACAGTCATTGCATATATAAAATCCATCTTTTTGCCAACCATTGCATATATAAATGAGCTTATTGCTACCTTATGTAGAAAATCTTTAATTTTTTCTTCAACTTCAACAAACTTCTCATTGGTGAGCTTCATTAATTTCAAATTGGCCTTCAAAGGTATTCCAATAGACTTGCACTCCTCCATGTTGAATTGTTTCAAGACCTCTTTGATGTACTTACTTTGGCTTATTGTAATGATCTTATTACTACAATTTCATACAAATTCCACATCTAAATAATAGTAGAGCTCTTCCAAATCACTCATCTCATACCTTCTCTTTAATTTTGCCTTCAATCAATCCATCTTCTTCATGGTATTATTCAATTTGATTAAATCACTAACATACAGGATGAAAATCAATATGAACTCATTTGATTGCTTCACATATAAAGAATGATCAATTTCATTCTTTTCAAATCCCTCATTTACAAAGAATATATTAATACTTTGGTACCATGCCTTTAGTGATTGTTTTAGTCCATATAAAGATTTTTTCTACTTGCAAATAAGGTATTGTTTGTCTTTTTTAACAAATCCTTGAAATTGATATATATATATATATATATATATATATCTTCTTCTAATTTTTTATTCAAGAAAGCTATCTTTACATCCATTTAATGCATCTCAAAGTCCATTATTGCCTCAATTACTATAATAGTTTTAATGATAGTGAATTTGGCCATAAGAGCAAATATTTTATTGAAATCAATACCAACAACTTTTGAGTAGCATTTGACAACTAATCTTACCTTATATGTCATAACTTTGCCCATTGCTTCTCTTTTGATTTTAAACACCCACATACAATCAATTAAAGATCGATTTAATGGAAGTTGAGTCAATTTCTATTTTCTATTGTTTATGAATGATTTGGATTCTTTTTCCATAGCCTTCTATTTTATAACATCCATGGACTTCATTGTATCACACAAATTCAATGAATCAACAACAAATATAATATTAGAATATTCTTTACTCACTTGATGAAAGATGTGGTTCTTCCACCATTTATCATGTGGTCTTCTTTTTTTCAAAGGATATCTCCTTTCATTTCAAAAAAATTTATCTTCTTGCATTCCATGCTCTCTTCTAAGCTTATTTTCATTTAAAGTTTGTCTTTTCTCACTCAAAGATTGATATTCTTCATCATCATTATTATCAATATAATCTTCAACATCTTCATTATTGGTCCTAAAAATTGTAGAGGTTTTTTTTTCATCTTCTTTGCTTCTCTACCTTCATTTACATCTCTACCATCTTCATTGTCATCATCTCCTTCTTCTTTCTTTGTTGAATTTGAAGATGTGTCCACAAACATACCATTACTCTCACTTAGACACATCTCAAAGTACTCACAAGAATTCTTATGCTCCAAAAATTCTACATCACGACTTTTGATGATTTTCTTTATATTCAAACATATTAGTACATACATCTTAGTACCTTCACAATATCTAATAAACAAATATTTTGCATTTTTTGCATTAAGTTTGGAGCTCATAAAATCTAGTACTTTTGCATAAGCAATGCATCTAAAAGTCTTTATGTGTAAAACACAAGGTTTCTTCCCACTCCATATTTTTTTTAGAATCATTGATGTAAGTACATTTCTACGGCATTTATTCCTTGTATATACCACATTCACTATGACTTCTATCCAAAATTCATGTTTAAAGTGTAAAACATGTGGCATATTCTTTTCTATCTCCATCATAGTTTGATTTGTTCTTTTAGCAACTCCATTTTGTTGTAGAATGTAAAGAGTGGAGGTTTATCTTGCAATACCTTGAATCTTCAAGAAGTCATTAAAATTCTTTGATAAGTACTTACTTCCATTGTGAGTATGCAACATCTTCATCTTATACTCACATTGTTTTTTTTACAAGTGCCTTAAATTCCTTAAATCTTTAAAAAGTACTCATTCTTAGATTTGAAAATGAAAATCCACACCTTTGAAAAATTATTAGGGAAAGTGAAAAAGTATCTTGCTCTTTTAATTGATGGCATCTTTATTGGTCCACAAACATCTGAATGCACAATCTCCAACAACTAGCTTGCATGTATTACAATTCTACTTGAAAATAAAATCCTTTATTATTTACCTTTGATACAATCTTTACAATCAAGCATTATGGCATTGTGGCTAAATTAACCAAGATCCAAGCCACTAACCATAGATTGGAGTTTCTTTATGCTCTTTGCATTTAAATGACTAAGATATTGATGCTAAATACCAAATTTGTCTTAATCATGTAGAAACTCAATAAATGCTACCACTTCAATTCCATTTATTTCTTTATACTTTATGAAGTAGAACTTGTCATTTCTAAAGCCTTTGGCAACATCATCTTTATTTAATGACTTTACAAATCACACATTTTTATCAAATTTCACCTTATAACTATGTGAAATTAATTTACTTAGTGAAATGAGGTTTTTCTTGATTTAAGGTATATGTAAGACATCCTTCAATTTCATCCTCTTGATTTTTTTACTACAATAGAGTCTATTTTAATAGCTTGTATTATGCCACTTTCTCCTATAAAAATATTTATTGCTAAAATTTCTTCATAAGTGTCAAATAAATATTTATATAGAGTCATGTGCTTAATAACACCCAAATCAAAAATCCACTTGGATATAGCAGCTATGGAAGTATCTTCACTTGCCATGAATGTAAAATCATGTCCTCCAGATTACTCATCTACATTATTAGCACTTTCTTTGTTTTATTTTTTTTACCTTGTAGCAATTTCGTGCAAAGTGATGTAGTTTTTCACAAATGAAGTAAGTTCTCACATTGCCACATTGATTAGAATAGCTCCCCTTATCTTGTCTTGAAAGGAGAGCCAAATCTTCACTTTGAAGCTCTTTCTCTTTCCTCTTCATTACTTTATGGGCAAGTTTTGTAATCCATTGTAAGTTCCTTTAACTTAATGGACTCCAATGCCACAATGAGATAGTTGTAGGACTTAGAAAGACTCATAAGCAAGGTCATGACAATATCACCCTCTTCTAAAAACTTGTTAATAATTACTAGTTGTTATGCTAGAACCTTTACCTTATTAATATAAGCCATGAGATCTTCAACTTCTTTTATTTTACAAATGAAGAATTTCCTCCTTGTGAAGTTGATATTGTGATGATGATCTTGCTCTCATATATGTTGCAAAAAATCTTGCATGCTTCCGCTAGTCTTTTGCAAGAGATAATATGAAAAAAATTGACTTTATCCAAATTAGTGGTAATTATGTAAAAAGCCTAATTTTCATGTCTTTTGAAGTCCTTCCTTTCTTTAGCATCTGCATATATGTTTGGAAGTTCTTCACTTTTATCTACAATATCCCAAATGTCTAAAGATGCCAACAAAAGCTCTGTTTTGACCTTCTAATGGTAGAAATTATTCCTTCTAAACTTCTTGATTACTTTCAAACCTTCACTCTTACTAAAAGCCATATCTAAAAAGAGATGTATTAAAAAATATCAAGGAAAGGAGTCTCTATGTTTTCAAAATCATTAAATCAATTTGATACTAGTAAAATCTTAGAATGCCTTCTTATGAACAATAAAGTATTTTTTCACTCAAAACACCCTCAAATCAAGCTTTGAAGCTTCTAACTAGTATGTACACTCCAAAGAACCTTACTATCAAGATCTCTCATTCTTTCAAACCAACTAATTTACAATATAGACAAGGTAAGTAAAACAACTTCAACAACATAAAAAGACATTGTCAAGGCCTTTTTATAAGGTCCTAAATTCATAATCCTAAGAGTTAAGAATCTACCAAACAATGCTAGAGATCTATAAAGTCAAAATGAGCATCTCCTTATGCCAAAATACAAGTTTAGATCTTACAAACTCTAACATCAGGAAACACCATACGATCTATTCCACAGAAGTACAACCACTAGAGAATAACATAACTTACTTAAATGGCACAACAAAGTGTGTATAGATCCACAACCTATTAAAGAAATACAACAAGTAAGATGCAAGTAAATAGAAATTAGAACTATTGCATACAAAAAAAGTGTAGAATGAGATGCATCTCTCTTCTAACACCTTTGACTTATAGGAGGAGTTTACATCTATTGTAGTTGAATTTTATCTATAGTCATCTTCATCTATCTAACTTAATCTTAGATTTCTCTTAATCTTGCCGTGACATCAAATCCTAACTGCCACATTAATAAGTTATCTTCATTTTTTTTTACTATCCTTTGATCATTAGCAACTTATCTAAGATAATTGTATCTTATTCTTATTTTAACAACTACAAATGTTATATTAATTTAATATTACTTTCTCACATCTTAACTATTAGAAAATAATTTATAAAAATTATAAAGAAATATAGTTGTTTCTTTAAACAACTTTCATATTATCTAAGGTAGCTATAGAGATTTTTTTTAAAAATTCTTTTAATTTTATTACATATATTATTAACTGATTTAGTATCTTCCAATAATGTACCTAATAATACATAAAAAAATGACATATTTCAATTTTATAAATATTATTTATAAAAAAAATATGATTCATATTTTTTATTTTTGTTAAAGATATATATTTATAAAGTAAAAATAAATTAATAATTCAGATGTGATTTATTTTTAAAATATTATTTGTTTAAAAAAATAAATAAGAAGTGGTATTTCATTTCAAAATGTCAGTTTAATCTTCCAGTTTCTGGTCTAGGCACCCAATTTTGGTGGAAACCACTTTCAAGAGATGCTTTCAGCTTATTCTCTCGGAACAACTTAGATTCTGACTGTGACAGGTAAGAGATTTGCAACTTAATCCCTCTCTTCCTTCCCATGTGAGTGGTTGTGCAACTACAAGTCCTTTGTCTTCATCTTCCTTCCCATGTGAGAGTGGTAGTGCAACTACAAGCCCTTTGTCTTCATGTACAAATGCTGCTTACTTCTAACTTCCACATAACGTTATACAATATTGTCTTACCAAGAAGCATTTGACAGAGATATGACGGTTCCATCTGCACATGTTCTGAGCTGGTCTTCATCGAATTGTATCCTACTGAAGGTGTCATCGATCAGGCACGAGTTACAATGCCTCTTTCGAAATGTACGCTGTCGAGCGCAGAGGCCTTGTTGCACGAAGAAGATACTGGATTTAATTTAATGGCCGGTTATGTTTTTGAGATGTTGAGGAGCGTGGCAGAGAAATGGGGCTCTACAACCATTTGTTGCCAGTGATAGCAGGTCAATAAGTAACTACCGACGCCGGGTAGACATGATTTTGTAAGGTTGCGGGGTAATCACTAAAATGAGAATTGTAGCTCCGTCGCCGAAAGTAAAACACTAGTAAGTAAACGCGGCTGAAATAACGGACAAAAATGTTTAGGTAATGCTCTCGAGTTCAAACCACAACTTGAACAATCACGCCAAATCGACAGAACACTAATGGTGAACATGATGAACGCAGTCATATTTTGCTTTCGGCTCCGAACATAAAGTAACAGTTCATCAAGTTATTGATGGCCTATCCCACACAGTCTAGACAGATTCCCTTCAGTACTCTTCGCCATCTTCATCACCACCATCCTCCGCAGACTCGGCACCGACTTCTTCGTAATCCTTCTCAAGGGCCGCCAGGTCCTCACGAGCCTCGGAAAACTCCCCCTCCTCCATACCTTCACCCACATACCAGTGAACGAAAGCACGTTTCGCGTACATGAGGTCGAACTTGTGGTCGATTCTGGAGAAGACCTCGGCGACACTGGTGCTGTTGGATATCATGCACACGGCCCTCTGTACCTTAGCAAGGTCACCTCCAGGAACAACAGTTGGTGGCTGGTAGTTAATACCACACTTAAATCCGGTTGGACACCAATCCACAAACTGGATGGTCCTCTTCGTCTTGATAGTGGCAACGGCGGCGTTGACGTCCTTAGGGACTACGTCTCCTCTGTACATTAGACAACATGCCATGTACTTCCCGTGTCGAGGGTCACATTTGGCCATCATAGAGGACGGCTCAAATGCAGAGTTCGTGATCTCCGCAACTGACAGCTGCTCGTGGTATGCCTTTTCCGCAGAGATGACGGGAGCGTAAGAGGAAAGCATGAAATGGATACGCGGGTAAGGCACCAAGTTAGTTTGGAACTCCGTCACATCCACATTCAGCGCACCATCGAACCGCAGCGACGCCGTCAATGATGAGATGACCTGTGATACCAGCCTATTCAGGTTGGTGTAGGTCGGACGCTCGATGTCCAAAGACCTTCGGCAAATATCGTAGATAGCTTCATTGTCAAGCAGCACCGCAACATCGGTATGCTCCAAGAGCGAGTGGGTAGACAACACACTGTTGTACGGCTCCACCACGGACGTAGACACCTGAGGAGATGGATATACGGTGAATCCCAACTTCGACTTCTTTCCATAGTCGACAGATAGACGCTCCAACAGCAGACTTCCCAAACCGGATCCGGTTCCTCCTCCCACAGCATTGAACACTAAGAAACCCTGCAGGCCAGTGCAGTTGTCCGCTAGCTTCCTAATACGGTCGAGGCATAGATCCACGATCTCCTTCCCGATCGTGTAATGACCACGGGCGAAGTTGTTCGCGGCATCCTCCTTGCCACTGATCAACTGCTCGGGGTGAAACAGCTGACGATAAGTGCCAGTACGCACCTCATCAATCACAGTTGGCTCCAGATCCAGAAACACCGCGCGAGGAACGTGCTTTCCGGCACCGGTCTCCGAAAAAAATGTGTTGAACGCATCGTCTCCTCCTCCAACTGTCTTATCAGCTGGCATCTGACCATCCGGCTGCAATGACAAAACAAACACACAAATCAGTCCCACCGACCATTACAAGTAACAGACAACAAACACCTTGGTTACACCTCGTCTCGTCAGAAGACCTACCGTAACGCCTGGGAAGGCGGATGAAAACCATTAGGAAGGGAACAACGCATTGACATCACCACAAAACACAAGTATAACGTTGATAACAACACATACCTGAATGCCGTGCTCCAAGCAGTAAAGCTCCCAGCAGGCGTTTCCGACCTGGATACCGGCCTGGCCAATGTGGATCGAGATGCACTCTCTCATTGTCGCTAGCTTTAACTACACAGGCAAACCAAGGCTTCCTACACAAGATCCAAGCGCTCGAGGAGAAAAGGTACAATGCGGCCACCAGAACGAAAGCGGAAACAAGGGACAACTTCGAGGTAGGCGTGTACGAAGACGCCTCCAAGAAGTGAGATCGGTGCAGCACAATAGCAATGTTAGAGCTACGGGAGAGCTCGCTACCTTATGCATCGGGAGAGACGAACCCTCATTGGTCGCACCGGATCGGCCGGTAAGATATCCTGTCTTCCGGTGCATCCCACCCTGTGCCCGTCAGTACGCGGTGATGGGCCATCACCACAATCTCGCTCACCGTGGCCATTTCAGTGTCGCAGACAAGGAAGTGGTCTGTGTCAGTCCTCATGACTTGGCCTGGAGTCGTCCCCTGCCTTGCCAGCACTTGAACGTACGGGGCATTGCCTTCGAACACCTTGAGTTCGTTTGCAGCAATCGCAACGGGAGACAGGTACATTTCCTCTCTTAAGCTAGTTTTTAAACATTGCTATTCATCTCGATGGAGAGATTGTGTTTTCAAGTTCACATCGCCGATTAATTTTGAAGGATTTCTTAAAGTCGTCTGACCGAACTCTGGATGCCGCTCACAGCTGTGATTGTGGCCACAAGCACACCACAAATAGTCCTCACTATCTTCTTATTAGAGCTTGTATGCAAAAGCCAATGCGTCGCTCATGTGCAACCGTGGTTTTACAAATTGCACTTGGATGAAGTTGGCTAGCCTATGCAGCAAGTATTCTGAAAATGGAAAGCGAAAAAGAGGCGCTTCTACCGAAACGCTTCCGCCTGATGAAGTTAATTTTAGGTGTGAGTATATTCTTTCGCACATTTGCTGGTCCATTTAGAGTCTTAGGAGACCAGAATTCTCTGTGCAGAAAACATAAGTTCATTGGACTTCAAATGTCTCGGTGCAAGAATCTCAATTTTTTAAAAAAAAAGAAGAAAAGGAACCAATTAATGCTCTTGAGATGCACATAGAAGTAAAAACGCTAAAAATCACAACACTGTACATAAATTTCATCGTCTCTCCACTTCGTTTGCATGACGACTATGGATAGATACAATTTCGATTTTTGAAAACTAGAAATACAGAAACAAAAACACCATGGGCGAGATAACACACGCTTACAAAATGATAGTGATAATAATACATAAAGTAAATAATAAAATAATAAAAATAAAATAAAGTAAATAAATAAAATAATACATAATACATAATAATAATTCATAAAGTAAAAATATTAATTGGAAGTAGCAAGGATCTTTTTGTAAATATCTTGTATTTAAAAAATTTAATAATTAGTATATTTTTATTTTTTAAATTTATGTATATAATGAATAAAAACTAATATGTTAAAAATCATTTACAAACATGCTAACAAATTATGTGCACTCTCTAAAAATATATTACAATATTATTTCTTAATTTTGTAAAAATACTTAAATGAAAAGTATTTTAAATAATAATGTTTATTTTTTAAACATAAATAAATATTAAATACAAGACACATTGCTTAAATAAATATTTTTTACATTAATAGAAAATTAAAAAGCTTATAATCCCTATATGAATTGTATTTGATGTTGTACAAATGTTTTTTGAATTTTATTGTGCTATTGAATAAGGATTGTGATCCATGGGTCCTAAGAAAATCTTTCTTTATCAAAATTTATATTTGGCATTGTTTGGTCTTTAAGTTACTTCACAAAATTAAATCACTTCAATTGTAAAATAGTGCATTTATTATTTTTCCAAATTATTTGGTTGGAAAGTAAAAGAATTGATAGAAGGTAAATGCAGAAATAAAAGAGAACAATAAATTATGAGGATTAGTTAAAGTCATTGCTTAGATAACATTTTCTAGCACATGACAAAGGAACATCCTCTAAAGTCCCAAAAATATAGTAATGCTCAACATTAGAAGAAAAGAAAAGAATAAAGAAAAAAACTCCAATGTTTTTTTAACTTATTCACTAAATTCAATTGAAAACTAAGTATGACATTGCATACAAGAGCTTGAGCTCATATATAAATTGTATCATTAGATATGAGTTCTAACTAGTCATTTTTTCACCTTTGTTTGATTGCATGTGGTATTGGTTGTTTTATGTCTACCAAGGTGACTTCTCCTTCATAAACTACTAGTAAGACTAGATTTGCATATGTTTAACAAATTTCTCATTAAAGAGTGTGTTGCACTCCAAACAATACTATTTGCTTCAATAAGCAGCTACATATCTTCACTAGGAGAAATAACACATTCTATTTTTCTTTATTTTGACTTACCAATCTTAAATTCATTGATTTCCAATAATGTCCTTCGTGTCCTTAAATAGTATAATTTTGTATCCTCCATTACTTAATATAGGACAAGTACAACTATGTTTTATATTAGAATTAGAATTATACATAACTAACACCATGGATACTTGCATCAAAAAAGTGGGTTTAGTGCACATATTCTGCATTGTATAAAATGTTTGTAATAATGAAGCTGTAATGCTGTTTTAGATCCAAATGCGTGTTCAGTAAGCCATTGGTTTTTTTATGTGTATGTATGTAAATACATATATAGTTTTTTAACATCATCTTCTAAGATTACTCATCACAGTTTAAGATTAGTGAAATCAAAATTTTAATGTTTCAATGCTATTCCATGAGTTTGCAGATTAATTGCATACGTCCACAATAATAATTTAAAAAATTCATACATATCATTTCAAGTTTTCCATGTCACCTCCTATCCACATGCATAGAAACTCAGTCTCAAATTTTAAACCCCGACACTCAGTGAACATGCTAACACTCGAAAATGGACCCATGCATAAGATGGGTGTGGCAAAGCTGGGCGGTTTGATAATGCAGGACCACTCGGTCATGAATTGCAGTGTACATTTAAGCTTGAAAAGAAATTAAATTAAATCCTTACAGAAGATCACAGAGTTCAGATAAGTAGGAGCTAGCTTGTTGGCTACTGCGAGAACAACCGAAGAGATTTAGACTCACCTAGAATTTAGGATTCAGTCTGTGGAGCTACCTTCGATCAAAGCTGAGCTTGTTTTGCTGCAGTTGGACAAGCTCAGACTCCACCTTGAAATCGGTAGAGGCGAAGTCTGTAGACGCACTGCGGCAGTGGCCTTTTGCTTTTGCAACTATCCCGAATGAGAAGACTGAAAACACAACCACAGCAATCACATGACAGTTGAAAGCGAAGTTCATGAGAGCTACTGCTCGCATGTTAGCACCCTGCTTGATATCACACTGGGTGCTGCTATATCTTGTGAAGTCACCTGGCCCACCCATGGATCCTGGAACGTATCGACATCCCTGGGGGATGTAGCTCTCAGAATAGAGCGACAGCCCCATTTGGAACTGCCAAGTTCCTTGTAAGACGAGAGAAAGACATAGCACCAAGTTCACGAGGAACGCCTTCGGTCGAATCACCAGCAAACCTGCATGATCCACAAAAGGAACACAGTCCACGATTTGAAGTCCGACCAAGTTTCCGTTTCTCCAGGTCTATGATCTCGGGCAATCAGTTGAAGCAATGCAAGTCCACTCTACACCAAAGACAAATGATTCGAAATTTTATTTTTTATCTTTTATTTTTTGATAGGAGTGGTGGGGCCTGTAATGTTGGAATCCCATACCTGAAGATACAGCACATGCGGCTGCACTGTACGCAAGCAAATTACCACATTGTCTCTCAAAATCCGAACTTCGACCCGCACTGTGAGTAATGGATAGCCACTGCAATCCAAATGCAAGACTGGCGAAAAGGAATGATCCCTCAGGTGGCAATGGAAGAAAGGATGTGGTATCGGTCACGAGGACTGTTAAAACAAACAGCCAGAACATAAAAAGGATGGTGACATGCTCAAACCCCATGATGCTGGTAGTAGGCATTGAACCACTCGAAAGGGGTTGAAAATGTGCCGATATTCCAAGGTCGTAAAATATTGCCAAGGGAAGGAAGAACAATAGGATGTGGAGCTCGAGGTGCTTGAATCGTACCGGCAACAAACCGATCGGATACCATGCGCGCGCTGTGTACTCTCGTGGAGATTTCACGTAAGAAACAAAGAAGCAGAAAAGATGCCATAATCCAAGTGACAGAAAAATAATTCCTTGCAAGATGTGCCCTCCCATGCTCCCCATTTTGGAATTCGACTATACCTGGGCAACGATTCAACATCAGGCTGATGACCGAACCACTAGTAAATTGAAATTTAAAAAAGGAACATGACCTCAAATCATAGATATTTCTATCGACATCCTTGCATTAGAGCAGTGTCCATTTTCTCCTGAATAGCTGAGCTCTGCAATGAATGTGGAATGCCATTGAGAGCTTCTGCAACATTACAAGGAGGGCAAGACAGCAAGCTTCAGGAGATCAGACCTTCATCCAGGTGCAAAGTCCTCGGGGCCAATCTCAGAATGCACTCTAATGGTTTCAAACTCCCAAAGAAAGAGGTCGGAGCGTCCAACTAGTCTCGCCTAATGCTTCTGCATTCAACTCCAAGATTTCTAGGGCCACAGGACATGGCAAATCTCACCGACAGCTCCTGAACAAAGCAAATTTTCTCCGATCACACACTTCAAAATCCTGCTAAACCCTGAAAGCAAAACCAGCGATTCCACACAACTATCCACCAACTCTCCACGGAAGTAAAAAGCATAGCAACTGTAGCGAAGATCTACAGGCAGGGATGCGATGGAATGGAAAACCCTAATGGATTCCGAAGCAGCAAAATCCACGCAACTGCGCAAATTAGAGCGAATTAAAAGGTGGGTTAGTCTGATTGCAGTTGCGTAGGCCTGGATCGATCCAAGCGTTCACGTTCGATCAACAAGTATCTAGAAGAATCGCCACAATGGGATTCATAGTTGAAAAAAAAAGTGACTGCAATTCCTTTCGCCGGAGTCGCACAATTGAACGACCCAGATGGAACGCGTTACTTACAGTTGAACGCTGTTCTAAAGGCTAGAACTCTGTGGGGAACTGTGTCTCTCTCCTTTTGGTGGGATAAGCTGAGGCAACGTAAAATTAGGGCTTCTCATAAAAAATCGAGACAGATTCACTTGTTTTTTTAATATTTTTCTTGCTCTCTTTCTTTGGATGGCTCCTCATTCTAGAGCAGAAGTAAGTTCTGTCAAGTTTGTGTAAACCAAGTGAAGAAGTTTATTTCCTTATGTTCTTCACAGGGTATAGTGGCTATTGCTGCATGTAACATGTTGATTTGGTACATGACATTAGGAGGTAACAAAGTTAGAGAAATGGGGAGAGCAAATAAAATGGGAGAAATATTGTGGACCAATTTAGTACCAATACATTATAATAAAAATTTAAGAATAAATATAAGAATTTAATTTAATTTTTTAAAATATTAAAATCTATTTCATCAATGAAAAATTTAATAAAGATTAAAATATTTCTGATTTACATTAATTTTTCAGTTGCAAGATTTTAATAAAATGATATATAATATTTTATTTTATATTTTAAATTTAATTTACATATTTAAATTTATATTCTAAGTATTTTCTATCTATATAATTTATATTTATAACATAAATTTATTATTAATTAAAATTTGTATTTCTATTTCAAATTTTAATAATTTAAAATTTTAATAATTCAAAATTTTTATTATAAATAATGATCATTATTATATTTTATATTACATATTAGTATAATAGTCATTATCAAACACAAAAGACCTAAAAGACTATAAGTAAGACTAAAATATAAGAAAGATGTTAATAAAAGTGAAGATGATTTCATCTTTGTCTCAATATATAAAAGCCTTTAAAAACACCATGTAGTTGTTAAGATAAATTGCCAATTAAACAAATCAATATGCAACAAGATTACTAATATTAGTGGCAAACATGAAATCAACTTGATAAGCCAATATATAGCGGATTATCATAGACATGCATAATTACTTAGATATGAAGTGTTTGGTAGAAAGTAAATATAAGTAGAATTGATCTTATCTTGTAGCAAAGCTTCTTAGAAGATTTATAGATATCTATTTGATTTTATACATGTTTATAGTTGATTGATAGGTTAGAAACTTAGCCAGTAAGTTAACCATGTATTGTACATGTACATAGCTTGTATTATAAGCTAATGATGTGGCATGTATATAAAAAAACTTGCCTTACAAGTTAGAACATATATCTTGCAAATTGAACACATGTTGGAGGTCCTACAAAATGCCGCCATGTAGGTCCTAGCTAGATAGTATATATGGAAGTAAGAGTAAAGCCTTCTTCACTCTTATTAATACATTTTTAGCCCTTACTCTTATTTCAAGACTTTCTAATCTTCTTGTGTTTGGCTATAGACACTTTGATTTAATAGTATATCATTTTTTATTACAAATCATCCTCCTCTAATTTGACTTGTGAGTTTATTTGAGTTGTTTATGGAAGGAAAAATTATAGATGCTACTCACGATAGAAATAAGAATAGTTTTGCAACTATTGCAGATCTTTAGAAGCTTGTCAATATTGTTAGGATCAAAATCTCACATATTTCTAACAAGAATAATGAAGGTACTATTTCAATGCCTATGAAAGAAGACAACAACAAGATTTGAACTCTACGCCAAAAAGTTATATAATTGAAAGTAGCAAATAGATCAAATTTACAATCAAATCCAAGATGCTTTGTATAAAAGAAAGAAAGATAAGTATGCAAGAGAAGTTATCCATGTATGTATAGATAGCTTATAATAGTATGAAGGAGGCAAGGATAAGTATACTAAAGAAGTTTGATGAAACAAGATCAAAGTTTTGAGGATTTATATAACAAGTGAAGTTCTTTTTAAGATTTTATCCTTCTCAACATCTTCGTGGATTTACTCAAGTTGGATTCATAGGTGCATTTTTATTTGAGAGTGTTTTCTCTTAGTTTACACCTTTGATGAAAAATAATTCATAATTCTTTAATAATATAAATTCATTCTTAAAAGTCTTCATTACCATATTTTAAAAAATAATCTTAAAAAAATAATAAAAAACAAATTCCTATTTTCATGCTAAGCATCACATTTAATCACTATATGTTTTAAAATTCTAAAATTTTATTTGCAACATGAATTAAAATGACAAAGTCTTTATTAATCAATTTTGAAATTGATTGAAATACAATGTCAAAGATTTATTGTTAATTATGTTCAAAATAAATTCATTATAAGAATCTATTCTTTAAGCCATTGCATACAATAACTAACTCTTTAAAAGATGCTAAGAATAAAGGTTTGATTGGAGAAGTACAAGTCAAGTCATGGCAACAACTTCTAAGTTTGAAAAAGCTTATTCATCAAGGTTGAAACCAATGCAAATTGATAAGATAGAATTCAAACTTCTTATGAAGTAAGGAAAGATTCAACATTATCATATTATAATTGTTTATAGTATGTATAAATTAACTAAAATAGATAACATATTTATAAGTATTGATGTATTTTAGAGTAGTTAGTAGATTAAATTAAAGAGAATTGATATAAGAAAATTTATTTTAAAATTTATCTATATTGATTATAGTATTTAAAAATATATATAATTTAAATATTTAGTATAAAATTTAAGGAGAAGATTGGGATTCAAAGATAAAGATTCAAATCTCTAAGAAGCTTATTTGGAGGGATGAAAGCAAGGTATGGATCGATGAAGGCTATGCTAAAATAAAGAACTTTATCCCTTTTGGTTGAAGGCCATGCTAAATAGGCTTTTCACTAGGTTGTCTATAACCATAACAAGAATTTTGGCGACTTCAAAAAGAAAATTTGATAATCAAAAGCAAAGATTACAAGGTTTAGAATTTGGACTACAATTTGTGCATAAATTTTAGAGGATTTGGAGTTAAAGTAAGGAAGTTTTAGTTGTTTAAAGTTAAGGTGTCTTTTTAAGATATATTGTTACTATTTTGAGAATACAAGGCATTTTATAATAAATTTTGGAGATAGAAAGAAGTAATTGCAAGGGTGATTTTAAGATCTACAACTCTTGTGAAGGAATTATTGTATTTGGAATTTGTGTGAAGAAGTTATAGAGTGTTGAAGATAGTATATGTAATTCAAAGGCAATAAGTAATTCACTTTCTTGATAGTAATGGTTGGAGCCATATCTTGAGTTTTTAGATGGATTTTTGGCTCAAAATTTCTAAAAGTGTATATTATTAAGTTAAAAAGTTATATATTAGAATTTTATGGTATTTGAGTACTTATTTTGTGAGATGTAAAGAAATTTGCACACGGGTATATATAAGCAATGGTTTGAAGCTACTATTAGGATTTTGGCAATATCTCAAGATTCATAATGAGTTTGTAGTTCAAATTTGTTGTGGTAGTTGTTAAAAGTACATCAATATTTTATATAATTTGGATTTTTTTGGACAGTCGAATCATGAGATATTAGCTCTTAAAATTTGGAAAAAAAATTCTTTAAGGATACACAAGGTTTTATAATATTTTTATCATATTTTTGGTGATCTTTAGTACTCAGAGCTTATGTATTGATATAATTGTCTCTACAAGTCCAATTTTATATATAAACTTTGTATTTTTATTTTTATTTTTATCTTGAGGCTTGATTGAGCAATTAGTGATAGCCAAAAGCCCACTGCTTACTTTAGGCAAATTCTCTCTATTCCGACAATGTCATCAAGAAGGATTATGCTTATATTGTAAAGAACCTAAAAATACTATTTAATTTTATCTAAAGAAGCAACATAATCAAAGAATAAAGAATATAGTTGATAAAAAAGATGACGTGTCAAAAAAAAAGTTTTTTCAACTATAATAAAGATTGTGTGGCTAAAATACTACATAACATCTAATAAAGGTCTTATCTTCTTCTCAAATCCTTCACCTTTTTTTACAATAGAAGTTTTTTTAGGACTAAAAAATTACAAAGACTTTGCCTTATTAGATTCTAATGCCTTAGCTTTTTTTATAGATAAAGTTTTTAGCAAAAAATAAGAAATAGCTTTAATTGAAGAAACATCTAAGTATGTAGAAGTAATAGGTGAACATTTATTATCCTTTAGAGATGTTACTTGTGAAATAATTTATTCAGATGTAGCAACTAAAGATCATAATAGCTTAATAATACTCAATCTTATTAAAATTCTTTTTAATTTAATTATTTTAAGATTATTATAGCTAAAAAAATAAAATCCTCAAATAAACTAGATTTCTTGTAATATTGATTTTTTTTTTATAATTTAGCTCAAGATTTTGCTAGTCAAGTAGAAATCTATAAGTTCAATACATCAAAATCTATATTGAAAGGCAGAAGAACTTTCTTGCATGCTACAAAAAAATATCAAGTTTTGTTATATATGCCACATCTATTTTTGAAAGAAAACAAAATTCAAATGACATTCTAAGCTAGTACCAAGATTTTTAAGAAGATGAGAAGAACAATGCAAATATTCTTTAAAAGCATTGTACCTATAACTGTTCTATCAATCTTTGAGAATGAACTCAATGACGATTTAGACCAATCTACAACTTATTACAGAATTCATTGATTGCAATCAAGGAGAATATTGTCAAGAATTGGACTACAAGTTTTATATGATATTTTAAATCTCTAATGAAAATTCTAATCTTATTTGTAAAACAAAAAGATGGATCTCTACAAATATTTGTGGACTATCAAAGGTTCAATAAGATCATCATTTAGAATAAATATCTTCTACCTTTAATTTGAAGACATCTTGATCATCTCAATTAAACAAAGATTTATATAAAAATAGATATATACAAATAAATAAATAAATAAATATATATAGTTTTATATAAAATAGATTTAAAAAAAATATATATATATATATATATATATATATATATATATATATATATATATATAACCTAGTACAC